TCTCACGTTGTTTTGCTTTTGCACGGGATCAGCCTTTTAAAAGGGTGATTGTGTTTCTTACTGTAAGGCTATTGTACTAAACAGCAGTGTCATCACTCTCTTGCTAAATGTACCCATTAAATGGAAATTGATCACCATGGAAACTTTGAAGGAGAATTCGATCAATATAGAGAAATATGAATAAGTTTCCTTGACTGTATCTGATCATATATTCAATTTCACTTGTGTTACAATGGTACAGTACTGTTCTTACTTATTAACATCCTTCAAATCTCAAAATGTAAAGACTTCGAAGGATGTTAATAAGTAAGTAAGTTAGTAAATTAATCAATTAACGTTAAGGTCAACTGCATCCTAAGAAATCATCAGTCAATGGGACAAAATCGGCCCAGACCACCAATATGCTCCTTGGAGATACTAAAGAATTCAGAAATATAAAAACAAAATGATAGGTCAGGCATCATATTTGGTTTCTGATGGTTTAAAATTACATGAACAAGGAGAAAAAAGACCAGAAACAAAGCTGTGGACCAACAACAGAAGTGTTTTGGTTTGAGCAGTAATCTTATCTTTGGTGTCAGTCAAAACCACATCACTAAATCCCACTTATCACTCGTACTGTGTGAGTATTATTGAGATGTGAACTTGTGATTTGCCACTACAATATGAAAATAAAACATATTTCTTATTCTATGGAAGTATTCGAAACCCTTGTACTGTGAAATTTGAAGATATAATTAAACTATTCTATTTAGGTTTGAAGAGCTTGTTGTGTAATTTTGAATAATAATGATGCTTAGAAATGTTGTATCTTCATAACACTTGACAAGTTGAGATTAAAGTACTCTTGTTGGTTTACAGAGAGCAAATTTCATTCAAGTAATTTGGCAGCATTTTAAGAATCCTGCAGCCACTGTATTTATTTACTGTAGATATTCTTTTTCCGTTTTCCTTCTTTATTGGGTAGTGACTGCTGCAGAGAGACAGTAAAGGCAGGGGAGGGAGAGAGAGAAGATGACATGGGCCCTTTAATCGAACCCCGGCCACCGCAGTAAAGACTACTGCTATACATGGTACGCATGCTCTACCATGTGAGTTACCTGGGCGCCCCACCCTGCACCATTTTAAAGTGACGACTAAACCCAACACTAGTCCTCAGTTTGTTCAGTAGTTGCTATCATGATGCAGCTAAAAAGTGGTTTTGACGGCAGCCAGCCCTGGAATAAAATTATAAATTTAAAAAACACACATCCACAAACATCAACATAATATCCACTATTGGCAGCTTGGGGCGGCAGGAGCTCAGTGTGTAGGGACTTGGTTGCAAAAGAGGGTCGCCGGTTCAAGTCCACGCCACAAAATATTGGATGTGGACGGTAGTGGAGGGTCCAGTTTCCCTCCCTGTGCCTGCCGGGTGCCCTTGATCAAGGCAACTAAAAAATACCCCCCCGAAACTGCTCCTAGGCGCTGGTAGTTGCACAGCATTCACTCACATCTCTCCCCTTTGCATGTCCACAAGTGCATGAAGTGTGTGTGTGTACTAAAGTCCCCCTAGGGGATCAATAAAGTATATCTTTTTCTTCTTCTTCTAAATATCAGACCAAATATCTCTATTATTAGCATACTGGCAAAAGTAAAAGATTATTTCCTTCATCAAAATGAATATATTTGAAAATTAAAATTGGGATGTTCTTTCAAATGTTAATTAAATGTTTGTAAGTCAATAAAGCTGAATTGGAGATATCAGCTATAACTCAACTGTAGCTGTATTATCACGATACTGAGAATATTTATTATATGAAAAAAGTTTTGCTGAGCACACGACACCCTGACTCACAGTCATACAACAGGAGCCCAGTATCATTCCATTACTAAAACCTAAATTGGGTGCCCAAGAGCACCTCAGCTAGTTGAGAGAGAAAGCATAATCAATACACTCCATTCACCCAGACTTTATCAGTGAACCGATCAGCCCTCCCTCACCTTATCACCTCATTTTCAAAATCAGTTAAGTGGATAGGTAGGACTGTTGCTGCCGGTTTCCCACAATGGAAATTTTTCCGCTAACCCAAAGCAATGTGATCCCCTTATCTATTTCTGCACCGCAGCCATTGGATTGCTCTCCATTGAAGTGCTATTGATCTGCCTTGCATGCTGTAAAAAAAAAGTGGGGTGTAATCAATACTCCCAGCCTCCAGGCTCGATCCTCCACCCTCAGCTGCCTCGCAGTCTTAAAAAGGGATGAGGCATTTTCAATCTTCTCCCGACCAGTTTGGGAAAGCACACTGTTACTTTTCAACACCATGTACTGTATCTATGCATGCACATGTTGAATACTAATATACGATGCTCCAGCACAATGTGAAACACTATGTAACTTTTGAAAGAAGAAATTACATTTTTCCTCTTACAAATGAAAACTTTACCATGAAATGTACCAAGGCCGAGGTCTTGCTGCAGCAGCCGTCAGTTTTAAGTCCGACAAATGGCCCTTTGCTATGTCTATTTTGAGCTGTCCTATTGATTAAATGCAGAAGGACCCACAAAAAGTAAAAAAAACAAATTCAAAGTTGAATGAGCATTAAAGTGCACCACTGCTTAATCCAATGCATGCAGAGGTTTTCTTAGTGACCAGTAGCTTATGGTGGCAAATATTTTGTGATTTGGGATATCTTAAGATGGAATTGCTGTGTAACATCACTCTGGCTGACAAATGGGATATACAGTTACCACAGCAGTAAATGGGATATGACAAAACTGAAAAAGTCTGCACTATAAAGGGCAGTGAGAAAACTGCATACATGTTCCTTTTTGCGCAATATTGTTTATCTCCAAACGAAACACAACACATTTCTGACTGCCATCCACAACAGAACCACCAGCATGAACCAGACCTGCAGGGATTCAGCATCATGTCTTCAGGGAGGATGCTTAAGGTCATTGGACACTGAAACAATGACACTTGCAGGGCGTCCTATCTGACAGCTATGCAATCATGTTATTTTACGTTACAGGGCAAGGCCTTAGAAATCCAATGCACCATTTAGAAATCAATACAGCTTCTCCCCAAACAATATGAATACAGTCAACCGAGATCCGTTAAATGTCAAAATAATGAACTGTCAAAACATGTTAGTGTCCCCTTAGGTAAAAAGATTTGTTTCCATCATCTTGTGTTCATAGTAAAAATGTTACAGATGGAGCAGATCTAAAGAAATTCATCTCTAAAATATGTGTATGTTTTATCAGCAGCTGTATCAATAAATAGCAGTTTACAAATGAAGGTGACTCACTCACACTCACATGAGTGGAGGAGTGTTTCTTTATAAAGGTGAGCCTGAAGAACAGACTGGATGACAGATGGACAAATACTGATACTAATAATATTTACAGTTTCACAGGAATTCCTCTTTCCTCTGAAGGTATTTGCTTCGTTTAACAATTGTGTTGAAAAAATGCTGTGTCATTTTCAGCCGACTGCTGCAGCTACTTAGCACTTGCCACCAGTGCAGTAATATTCTATCCTGTCATTGTCTGTTTCCTTGTATGTGTGTGTGTGTGTGTGTTTGATCCCATCAGGCCCTTACCTGGCAGATGATTGAAATAATTCCCCATTCAGCATCTGTTGTACTTTCAACCTGGGCTCTGAGCCCTAAATCATCAAATCACATAGACACAAGAGGCCCACACACACACACACACACAGGGCTAACGCTGCAGATCCACAGCTCCTTGAACAGTCACCATGGTGATTATACACACGGTTCAGCTTTGATGCAATGCAGATGGATTAAATGTCCACTAAATTCACTACCGTCAATCATCCTGCAATAATATAATGAGTTGGTGTGATGAATTATTAAAAAATAAATGAGTTTATCCTCTTGGTTTATTAGATCCATGGTTGTGTCTTTTATTGCAATTTAAAAAGCGCCATAATGAACAAGTCACATGCTTCTGACAGCCATAAATATGCTCATTGTAAATGAGAAATATATGACATTTGATTTTATATTTTCAATCATTACAAACAAATTTCAAGCATTAGTAAGCTTTTTATAAGCAGCCCAACCTGCAATGAGCCAATATTTAATCAACAAATTAATTTTAGTCAGTTACTATAAATGCAATTCCAGTGTAAAAATAAAGAGATTAATTAAGTGAATATAATGGTCAAGCTGGTAGAGACAGAATAAGTTCAGAAACTGATCACTAAACTGTAAATCAACACGTGGGACAATATAGATGATATCTATTCTCATGTCCCCATATTGGTATTATATTGATACATCAGTATTAATATGATATCAGTATATCTAGCATATCTTCAGGTTTTTGGGGCTCTGAATTAGGAATTTGTTGGTGCATAGGCACCTCCAAAAATGGCAGCACCTAACTCTTTGACAACTCTGAAATTCGAGGCTGTTTATCAGAGAGAGAAGGCTCTGTGTGTTCATCTTAAATAATAATCTAAACTTTTAGAACAACAATTTCCATTTACTTGTCTTCACAAAAATTAACCAAATGCTGAAATATGGGCCTGCTGTTTATATTTTAGTTATAGTTTTCTTACAATCAAGAAGGCAACACGACCCCATGTGAAGCTTTGGCAACCCCTAGTGGGGAAACACTGTCCTAAAGTATTAGTATTTAGTGGAAAGCAATACCAGCTTTGTCAGTTGCAATTCATTCCTTCTTGTAACAGGAGGAGCACATATACCCACCAGAATCTTCACTTGATCAGAATAGGCACATCTACAACGTCTCAGGTAAGAGAAAAGAACAATAATGTGTTGCCGTCTCTTTATTTCATATTTCAGCTAATGAGACAAATGTAGATTTACATTAAATTCTGGCTGAATGAAGCTTTCCAAGTGGTTGTTTAGTGAAAATCGGTTCCATAAAGACTCTACAATGTATTGAATATTTTCTCAGAAAAAGCAACCCTATATGTACTCATCACTGGTCCATCGGCTCAAAGAGCGCCATATCACACTGACCTCTGACCTCGGAGGAGAAGTGGGCGGAGTGACGAGTTATAAACAGCTGCAGCTGCTGGTCAAGGTCGCAGCACTTGAGGTCGACGTCCCAGGATCGAATTCCTGCCAGGAAGAAAAAGAATAATTGCTTGAGGATAACAACATGAAGCAGGGAAGGACAGACATTAGTGAAATTGAGGTATCTGATGAACCTGAGGCACAAACAGACATTTAGCATGCAGGTGAGAGATGTTCCTTGCTCTGTTTGTTCGTTTTTCTGCTTTTACCAGATGTTGCTGTTTCAGTTGAAGAGAAGGTTGATGTGCAAAAAGCCTTCAAGCATGTAAAATGTCCTGATACTGATAAACATGCATTTCTCACATCTGTATTACTAACCTCAAAAGACACTGATATCATATGGTATCACTACTCACTAATAGTTGTACTTTGTCATACAACAATTCCCCTATACTACCACAGTTTTAAAAACAATAGTCTTACTGTGGCCATATTTATCTGTTAAATATTTAACATGCAGTGTGTAACTTGTACATTCTTACACCATTAATTTTTCATTGTATAGTTACTGTATGCTTTGCATTTGATGAAAACATTTATTTTGCTGAGTCACTGTTATGAAATGGCGCGCTTCGAAATTACTAGGGTGTCGCTTGATTTGGCAAATTTAAGAATTCGAATGCCAGAGGACCATTACTCCAGCCACTAATAGAAGAAATAAGAACACACCCTAGGTTCCTCTTAGCACTGTAGCCATGCTGACAGAGTCACAGCTCTATTGAGCCATGTATCCCATAAAATTAAGTAGCATGCTTCTATCGCACTTCTTTTATATAAAATTATTAATTAGAGAGAAATTAGTCACCAAATACCCTTAATAAGTATTGCAGCCTCCAAGATCAGAAATTTTAACTAATGCCACTCAGACTATATATTCTAGAACTGTTTTTCGGCTATCGATTCACAGTATAACTTCATAATTTCTTCATCGAAGCATCAACTGTCTGTTAGATCCAATCCAACTAAGGGAGCTGCTTAATAGAAGTCTGTACCCTTAATTGGCACTTCTTTACTGGATATGATCAATCTTTCTTTTATTATCAGGGATATGTAACCCGTCTTTAAAGTAGCTGTAATTAAACCCTTCTTTAAAAAGCCACTCCGACCAGGGGTTTTAGCCAACTATCAGACAGATTTTAACCTCCTTCTCTCTAAGCATTCTAGAAAAATAGTCGCCAAAAAACAGTTTTGTGTGACTTTTTAAAACATAGGCATAATTCTTTTGAGGATTTTCAGTCCCCAGGATTTAGAGCTCATCACAGCACAGAGACCAGCTCTGGTTAAAGTTAGTAAGACCTTTTGATTTCCTCTGACATGGTTTGTCTCTGTACTTGTATTATGTAGATCTTATGCTGCATTTGACACCATTGACCATAATGATTCTTTTACAGAGACTTGAGCAACATTGCATTAAAGGACCGCACTAAAAAGCTGGTTTAGTCTTAATTTATCAGATGTTCACGTTTGTTCAATGGTTAACGAGTGATCTTCAATAATCTCACAGTTAAATTCATGGAGTTTCAAAGGTTTCTGTATTGGCAATGCTATTTATTTATATAATTAACTATTAAGGCTGGATTACTGCACTCTTTGTTTATCAGGTTGCCTAATAAGTCCATTAAAAGCTCCAATTAATTCAAAACGCTGCAGCAGAGTACTGACAGGAACTAGGAAAAGAGATCATCTCTCCTGTTCCTAGCATTTCTGCATTGGCTCCCTGTTAAAATTTAGATAGAAATTTAAAATTCTCCTCCTCACTATAAAGCTCTTCATGGTCAGGCTTCTTTATCTTGAAGAGCTC